GAGAAAAAAACTTAACTTCTCTGTAAGTTCTTTTTTTAAGTTTTTTTTTCCTGTTTTGTTTTTACGTTACAAATATTTATTGGTTACTCCCATTTCATGAGAGATCTCTTGTAACAAAGTGAAATAATTAAGTAAAACTAATAATGTGGTAACCTCATCTGTAAGTTCTTACATTTCACATCTGTAGTATGCCCCTACAAAAAAAAATATCAATTTTCTCTTCTTCTCCCTCCCCATTCCATTGGAAAAAAAAGAAAAGAAAAACAAATTTCTTGTAACAAAATTCAGAATCAATTAGATAAATTCCCTTAATGACTGTATAAAATATGTGTACATTCTGTTTATTAAATCCTTCACCTCTCTGTAATGTTTCATCATCAGTCCTCTGGAATCATAGATGATTATTATATTGATCATAGTTCTTAAAGCTCTCAGAGTTGTTTTGTAATGTTGTTATCACATAAATTTTTCTTCTGGTTCTGCTCATTTCATTCTTTTCAGTTTATAACATTCCTCAAAATTGTCCATTTTTATAATATTGATAATCGTAATATAAATTGTTCTTTTGGTTCTGTTTATTTCATTCTGCATCAATTCATATAAGTCTTTCCATGTCTTTTTGAAATCATCTGTTCTTTTTTTTTTACAGCATAATAGTATTCTCTCATAGTCATATGCTATAGGTTATATTAACTCATTCCTCAATTAATGGGCACCTTCTTAGTTTCCAGTTTCTTGCCATCACAAAAAGAACTGCTATAAATATTTTTGTATGTAAAGAATCTTTCCCTCTTTCTTTGATCTTTTTTGGATATCGGCATAATAATGGTATAGCCATGTCAAACAACATGCAGTGTTTGGTATCTTTTTGTGTACAATGCCAGATTATTTTCGAGAATGGTTGTAGCCATTCATACCAACAGTACACTAATGTGCCTATTTTCCTACAGCCTCTCCAGCATTTATCATTTTCCTTTTTTATCATCTGTTAACTCTGATGAGGATGAGGTAGGATTTCAGAATGGCTTTAATTTGCATTTTTCTAATAATTTGGAACATTTTTTCACATGGGTATAGATAGCATTCCCTTAAGAACTGCCTGTTGAGATCTTTAGAACGTTTATCAGTTACAGAATGAGCATTTATCTTATGTTTGTATCTATTCCTTGTGTATCTTGAAAATGAGACCTTTATCAGAGAAATTTATTGCAAAGATTATTTCCCAGTTGTTTCCCATTTAATCTTTGCTTTATTAGATTTCAGTCAATATTTATCAGCTACTAAGTATGTGCCAGGCACTGTGCTAAGTGCTGGATTTGTATGTGAAAAACTTAACTTTTTCTTTAATCAAAATTATCCATTTTTATTTTCTATAATCCTCTCTATTCTTTCTTTGGCTATGAACTTTTCTCCTATACATAGATCTGATGGATAAGTTTGCCCTGGTTTTTCCGATTTGTTTATGATATGACCTTATATGTCTTAGTCGTATAACTATTCAGAACTTATCTTTGTAAAAGATGTAAGGTGTGAGTTGTCGGTATAAATCTAATTTCTTCTATACTGCTGGCAAATTTTCTCAGCAGTTTTTGTCAAATAGTGAATCCTTATTTCAGTAACGTGGGTCTTTGTGGTTATTGAATGCTCTAGGATACCATGTATGTTCACTTCTGTATGTTGGGCACCTAATCTGTTCCATTGATCTCTTTATTTTTTTTTAATCAGTAACAAATTATTTTAATAATCACTATTTTGTAGTGTAATTTGAGATCTGGCACTGCTAGTTCTCCTTCAATCCTTCTCTTTTCATTATTTCTCTTGAGATTATTATCTTTTCTAGTTTTAATGAGTAATCCTTCAGTAATTTGATTGGCATGACAATGAAAAAATAAACTAAGACAGTCCCTGCCCTCAAGGAACTTATATTCTAATGGGCTAATTCAAGTATACCTGGATAAATGGAGTTTCTGAGAGAAGTCTTCCACCAGTTGGGGGGGGGACCCTAGGTCTGAAGTGTGAGTTCCAAGTCTGAAGCGATCTAATATGTATGGTGGAGAAGAGAGAGGAGTGTAGCCTTGTGGGAAATGAAAAGTGTACCTCGATTTCAGTAAGACACATGACAAATTCTGTCATGATGTCCTTATGAATAAGATAAAGAAATATGGCTTAGATGATAGGTAGATTCAGAACTGGTTGAATGAGCATGAACAAAGAATTGTCATTAGCAGATTGATAGCAAACCGGAGGACGTCCAGAGGAAAGTGATCAGAATGGTAAATAGACAAGAATCTATGCCATGTGAGGATCTGCTAAGGGGGCTGCAGTTGTATCATTTAAGATAATATTTATGGGGACATGAGAGCTGTCTTCAAATATTGGAAAGGCTGTCATTCGGAAGAGGAAATATTCTTGTTATACTTGGCTACAGAAGACAGAATTAGGAGCAGAAGTGGATGTATCAGAGATAATATTCAGCTTATGGAAAAGTGGATGTTTCAGAGATAATATTCAGCTTATGGAAAAAAAGCTTTATAACATTCAGAATTGTTCTTACATGGTATATAGGCTGCCTTGGCTGGTGAGCAGGGGACTTCTCATCACTGGATCAAGCAAAGGCTGAACTTTGTAAAAGAAGTGGTAGAACAAATTCTTGTTCAAATCTGGGTTGTTCTAAACAACCTATGAAGTTTCTTGTAATCCATAGTCTTCAATTTGGGGACCTTGGTTTCCATATCTGTAAAATGAGAGGATAGGACCAAGTTATCTCTAAGGCCCTTCCCATCTCTAACTTCTATTTCCTGCCATCCGTTGACTCTACAATCCTAAGTGTTGGATATCTAAGTATAGTATTCTTGTTTCTAAATGGATTCTGAAAAATATGCAGCACAATTGAAGACTTTGTGTCCTTAATGACATTAATCAAATTCATTCCAAAATGGAATAAAATGACAAGATAACTAACATTTGGAAACCTGTGTTCAGTGTAGTAACTTGAAAGGGAAGATAAGGTAAACCTAGCTCTAAAACCATCTGGTTTGAATTAGTAGGTATGCAAATGCTGTGAGGTCCCCATAATTCCTATTCCTACCCCTGGTATTAGCATGAGTCTTCCCAAAAGAAAGAGCAACTGTAGTCATAGTAAGATTTTGGTAGTGCTGTATTTAGCCCTATATTTTTAGTGTCTATAATGCAACAGAAATTTTGCCATTAAGAATCATTTGAGATGCAAATAGGGCTTAGTATCTCTGTATTTAAGATTTTCTTTAAATAGAAAATTCCCCCCTCCCTTTAGCTGACTTCTTTATTTTTTCCCTCTCCTTCCTTCTCTCTTTTCCTTAAAAAAAAGAAAAACAACAACAAAACCCAGTTAATACATTAGTTACTTCTCTGGCCCAAGATGGGGGCTCAATAGGACCCCCTCGTTGCAGTGAAAGTAGAAATAGTGAGATTTTTCTGTCATTGAGTTCTTAAATGGTAAATCTGTTTCTGATTAAAGTAACTTGGGCCATAGGAAGAAAAAGGTAATACAGACCCTCGTGGCCAGCTGTTAGCCGATACAAGATGAACAGTGAATATAAAGCTATGCTTACTCGCATACATTAACCTCTTATATTCTATATATCTTTTTGATTGTTGGAAGAAGATGCCTCTATATGCATGTGTGTATACACACATATTTATAAATTAATAATGTATAAACCAAATTAATATATATACATATATACTTCTACTTACTAAACTAACATATAAGTATATGTAACACTAATACATATAGCTAATAAATACATAAACCAAATGAATATGTGTATGTTATTTATGTTATATATAATTTGTATATATTTTCAGATAAAATATATATTTATAATGTATAAATTATATAAATTTATATTATATGCAATGTATATATAGCTAATAAATATATAAGCCAAATAAATATATGTATATGTTAATAATATATTTATTTGATTTGTATATTTATTAGCTATATATAATTAGTGTTATGTATTTATTTGGTTTATATATTTATTAGCTATATATATTAGTGTTATACACACTTATATGTTAGTTGAGTAAGTAAAAGTGTGTGTGTATATATGTAAGTTTAGTTTATAGGTTGTTAGTTACATATATTAGTGCATACACTTAGCTTAGTTAGTAAGTAGTACTTCCATTAGACACCACCTCCACAGTGAAGAACCTTCCCTGAATTTCCATCTAGGTGCAACTATTTATTCCTCTCCTGAAACTCTCTTAGAGTTCTCTGTCTAGATCTCTCCTTTGCCTCCATCACACCATAGCTTGTATTGCACTTAGCTGTGCCCTGTTCATCTTAGTAGAATGTAAGCTTTTTGAGGTCAGGGATGATGTCATCTTTTGTCTTTGTACCTGCAGCATCTTACATGTGGTAAGTGTTGAAAAAATGTTTTATTGAATTGAATCAGGAAGACATAATACTTCCTGGGAGGTGGGGGGAAGAGATGGACTTTTAAAGATCTTGCGTGGAATAGCAAAATAAATTATATGCAGCTAGAAGATTGAGCCATTCCTAAGAAAGTAAGTTTATGGGTTCTGTGTATTTTACTTTCCCCAAACTATGAATTTCATTCAACCTCAGGTGTCTTAAATCTGATGAAATACCAAGGAGGAGAAATTTTCTTTTCCAGCAGGGGTCTGGATGATAGCCCCTAACAAATGCAAAATTTGACATTCATATAAAAGAGAGCTAAACAAGACCAATAAAAAGATGCTGGAAATTGACTGCAGCCAGAGGAAAAAAATACAAAGTAATGCAAACAATCAGCCATTGCACTGTTTACTGAAATCCAAGGGCTGACCTATAAGGCAGTGCTGCTACTTTCTCTTGTTATTTAGAGTAGCATAGAGAGGTTGATGTAAAGAAAATGGATGATTGGATCTAGGTTCATAGGAAGCGGAGTTTAGAAGAGGGTCACTCTTCATTATTTGTAGAGCATCTTATTCAATGGTATTTCTTTTTTTAGTGCTGTTGGGAAAGTGTTCTGCATTCAGTAGCATTGTTGGCTGTCCCCTGTAATGAATTTCTGGAGAATGAAAGCCCTGAAAACCAGAAGAATTGAGGCCTTATTAGTATTTTGGTGAGTAGGGCCTATATCTTATTTTAATCTTATATCTAGTTTTCTAGGAGGCTAGTAAAAGGTGGGAAATAATGAATAATTTTAACAACGAAGAATGGAACCCAACTTCAGTGCCTCTAGAGGGTAGATAGCTCATTTGTTCATCTTTTAATATTAGGTTTGTATCTTTATGGCCTCCTGATATATTTCTACAAATATAACAATCTCAAGAAACTGTCTAGTAGCTATAACCATAATGGGATTTGTACGTAGGTTGCCTAAATCTTAGCTTTGGGTTCAAGATGGAGATTTCCTCAAACTGACCATGTAATCTTTGTCTGTTCAACTCACTTTTCTTATCTGCAGAATAGACATTCTCAGTTTCACAGGGAAACTGAAGAACAAATAACCAAGGAAATAAGGCAGTGTGGAAAGTATTTTATCATTCTGGAAATAGAATTTATATAATGTAAATATATGTATGTATACATATATATGTGAGACAGTACAGTATAGAATGGAAAAAATCACCTGATGGATATAATGGGAATGCTAGAGAAGAGGCTCACTGTGAAGTTTGCTTTTAATTCTGGGGCACATACACTATTTTAAAAATACCCCACAAACCTTAGCTTGACAAAAGGAAAGTGTAAAATAAAGCCTTAGTCTCTGCGTTGACAGATATTTCCATAGCAACCTGACTGTCACTCAACACCCACTCCATCTAGCTTCAGAAAACACCCCCAGAAATAAATGTCAAAAGTCTTAGGCAGGTTCCAAATTTAAATCAAACTTTAAAATAAATTAAAATAAAAAAACCCTTAAACACCCCCAGTAGTCACAAAATTTTGAGAAAGGCAGGGAAATGGATGGCAAAGCAGACAAAAATCAGGTTCTCTTTCTGTAGATCCAAAGACTCAAAAGGGTAAGTATTATCTCATCTTTTCCCTCATTTATGGCATTGCCTGAGCCAAGCAATGACACACCTATGGACACACCACCTACAACTATTTCATAGCTTTTTCTGATGCTTTCAATGCTAGAATTCATTCTTATTCACTCTTGGTGGTTTCCCCCAAGTCAGATGTTAGCTGCCTTTTCAAAGTGCTGTGCCAAGATTCTGAGTCTTTCATTTTGTTGTGCCAGTGGTTGGGAAACAGGGTGCTGATTTTGAGTTTAATGCCAGTGTGCACATCTGACTCCCCACTGACTCACAAGTAAAGTATCACCTGCTACCAACACTCATTGCCAGCAGCTGATCTCACGGGGGGGGGGGGGGGGGGGGGGGGGGGGG